TTTTTTTAATCATATCTGGATGTAAAAAATTTTTGAAATACTTTTGTTGGTCAACAACAAAATTTAAAAAAGAGGCATTTTATATGAATAAAAAATAAACGTAAATCACATTTTGATTTCTCAACATAAAAAAAAAAACTAACTTAGACGCTGATGAAAACTCCTTCGTTTTCGTAGACACCGTATTGCTGCTCAATAGTAATAAAACCTGCTTCTCCAGCTTTCTGAACCTTCTATGTGTATGGTTCACTTAGCAACTCTCTGATCTGTAAATTATATGGTATATTTTTAAATCTTTCGTATCAATAAAGTAAACATAAACTGGTTCAAGTAATTGTTTTGGTTTACAAAAATATTTGAGTTCTAAGCAGGCTTTCTCAGTATATTTTTGACATTGTAAATTAAAAAGGTATTTGGGGGGAAAGAACATTGATATCTTAATATCAAGTGTTGTCCCTACCTTTTTGTTCGGGAAATTTCGAGATGAAAAAAAAAAGTCCCTGAAGAAGAGATTACATAATCAAATCATTATTTCCTACATAATCTTTGATTAGTCATAGTTTATAAAGCAATAATAAAAATATAAACTGAATACCTGAAAGGAGTTCAACGGGGAAAGAATCCCAAAAGACGACCACATCTTCATTAATAGACAAGAGGCCAAACAACCACGTCACACCCAGAACAGGTAACAAGGTACAGATGGACTTTATTCCGGCTCTAAAACCATTCCAGTAATATTCATGTTATTTTATTGATCATAAAAATATATGTTAATTGAAAAAAAGATTCCCGAAAATTTAACATATTCTTATGGAAAATAATTCTTGTCTTGATAAACACGCGATTAAGCTGGAACATTATTTTACAGCTATATAATTGTGATCTTGAGATAAAAGACACCACAGAGTCCGACACTTCTGTTTCATACTTGGATATTTTACTTGAAAAAGACACTAATGGTAATCTAACAACCAAGCTATATGATAAACGTGATGACTTTAACTTTTCTATCGTCAACTTCCCTTACTTATGCAGCAATATACCTTCATCACCTGAAGACGGAGTATATATATATATCTCAGTTGATTCGATTCGCAAGAACATGTTCTACGCACGAACAATTTCTAAAAAGCGGTAAATTATTGACAAGCAAGTTGATGAAACAAGAATATCGCATTCGTTTATTTGTAAGTTCATGGTCGATACAAACCTTGTCAGCAAATACAATTCATCATTGATAAAATGTAACTGAAGTTTTTTATACCAATTGTTAGTCCATTATATATACACAGAATTGACAACGGATTTTTTCCATTATTTCCTGATCATGACAAGGAGCAAACGGGGTGTGTGACCGGTCGGCAGGGGGACGCTCGCTCCCCCATAGTACCTGATCCCACCTCTGATGTTTCGGGGGTCCGTGTTTTCTCTGAAGACGGATAGTGTTTGACTTTAATTTGAATTGTTTTATGGACTTTGAGATTGAATACTGTTTGTTATCTCCGTATCCTTCTTTCAGAAAATTCTGGATTTGTATTCATTTTGACTTACATGGTCCTTTTTTTTACTTCTCCTTCTGAGGAAATTGTCGAACATAGAGTCACAACGAGACTGAACACAATTATGATATTGACCTAAAATTAAAAATAATAACTAGTATTTCTTAGCAATTGGCTCTTTGCAAATACAAATTACAGTGTTTGTACAAGATTTCACATACAATATCATCACAAAATAAAACTATTTTAATTGATCAAGACTGAATTAATGACGTTAACAAATCTAGTAAAATGACAACTTCCTACCAAAATAATACCAGCTACGGGTCCAATAAATCCATACAAGGCTCCACTTTCAAATGATAACCAGCAACTATAAAATAATACTATTAAACGACTTTCCCAAAAGATTAGGGAGTATTTCAATATATGAATATTACAATCAATGTGTAAAATAGAGTTTGAGTACCTGGTTTTTGAATGATAGTCCTTGTCCCAGGAATATACAATTCCGAATGTTCCTGCAGTTATGCACACTGGAATAACTAAAAGATACAATTTACGGATTTACATTCCTCGTTCATTATCTTTATTCACATTCTAGATGACTTGTCACTGACATTGTTATCCGTTCTTTTTCACTTTGCTACACACCTAATGTTTCTCACCCGTGACAACTACCCACGTGACTTTACCGACAGCATTGGCATGGCTTTGAAGTGCTGTTGCTTTAGACAGTGATAATTTGACCAGAGAGATACTGCTGAAATAGTGCCACCCAAGGGCCAGCATTAGAAAGAAAATAAATAGGAAAAGATAATGTAACAGTGCTGTTATGATAGTGCATCCGACCTGAAATATATAAAAGAGATCAAATTTTAACCCATTATGGACATGTGCCTTTTTGAATGAAAAATAGAGATAACAAACAATAACCAAGCTCAAAAGTCTTTGAAAACAACTAGCAGGCACGGATCTCTAAACTAATGCTTTCATAAAAAATTTAAACCCAAATTAATCAAATCCTTACTTCATTCTGTATTTTATCAACTCCGACTAGAAATAACGTATAAGCCATGGATAGACTAAAGCAGAGAAGCACCTGATTTATTTACTATTCGGTTAACGTTGACCGTAATGGATCTGTAAAGAAAGAATGTAATCATGTTTTTGTGATATAATCTAATTTACCATATGATTTATATATAGATAGTTGTCCGTGCGGCACAGTGGTATATCGTCTGCTCTAGAGGGAGGTGTTAATCCATGCTTCGCGGGTTCGGTCCCTCTTTGGACCGCCTTAGACCGGTCTTTTGCAAAACCATGTAAAACGAATTCCCTTGTCACAATAGAAGCTTGCAAAAGAATCAAGCCTCACTGCTACATGGTCCTTGGTGCCACGTATAAGTTAACAAATTGAGGCTCTCCATATCAACGAAAAATATTTTATGGGGATTTTAAACATTAACGAACAAACAAAACATTGTAAAATATCCAATGTTTGCAGATTGTTTATTAAATCTTCTCACTTCCAGAAGAAGATGTAAATAATGGCCGTCAGCAAAGAAAGAAAGACCGATATTGAGCAACCAATTATGGAAATCCAATTCAATGCAACTTCGTCTTGTATCTGTGAAGATGAAAGACTTCTCAGTGATTTATCACAGATCTACAATTATGCACTGCTAGTAAATTCCTTTATAGTGAGACAATGGAAAATTACAAGTAGTAATTGCCCAAAAAAATCGACATATTATTATATTCAAAAAGACATCTTAATGATTACCCTTAAAATGGTCGCACCAGTACCGCAAAATTTGTCAGATGATTGCATTCACAGTGAAGATAAAGATCTGTAATAGTAATTTACATCCTCGTGTTGACCACTCCCAGTTCCGTTACTGTAATAAATATTAAGTTTATTATACTTCACTATAACTATTCTACACAACGCCTTATCAGATTGTTTAGACTATCACGTGATAAAGCTATAAAACTTCATATTTCACGGTTGTTGGCATCTTTCCATCATATTTCACCTCTTCGGATACCTAGTGCATTTTCCAGCAATAGTTATCGTTCATTGAAAGAAAACTTCCGAGAGTAGTAGACGTTATATTAGCCTAGTTTACATTAAAAATTGATGATTAGTGATCAGTCAAAGGGTTTAAGTAATTTTACATTTAAATTGAAAGTGAATTTGAGAGCAGTGCCGAATATGAAAGTTTATGTTTGTTTCAAAATGTTTGCTTTTTTCGGTATAATAAAGAATCCATTGCATGAATAGTGGGGAAACTTGAAGATATATTCACCCAAAAAATTCCCTTTCCCCTCGCCAATATGATATTTCTTAGATAAAATTTTTATATTTCTCTCACTATCATGCAATAATATATAATTTTACCAGACGTATGATGAAATAATAACGTACGAATGCTGGTTGAAAATTGAAAAAAAAATCACTGATAAATTTACTTCTTTAAAATCCCAAAATACACATTTGCTGAAGGAATTTTGAGAATCCTAATTCAGAAACAAAAAGGAACAGAAAAAAGTACAATGAAAAAATGTTTCTTTTTTAAATGGGGCTTATTTTTCATTTAAAATGTTCACAAATATTTTATTTAATATACATGTTTTAAGATCTTTAAATGAATTGAAGGGTCTAATGTTCCTCCAAATAAAGGTTCATTAAGTGTTAATGACATAATATCAGAAGAAATATCGTATCCGGAATTCTTTTTCACTCTAAAAAAAAAAATCTCGTTTTGATGAGAATATTGGCTATAATTTAAGCATACGTACATATCTCGGTGTATCTAGAACTTCTTACCTTTTTTTGTCATTTAAATGTTTCGCTAGTGTTGTGTACTTCACTGCAAGGTAGGGAATACCTAGTTTTTTTTTATTATTGAAAAGAAAGTTGACATTTTGGTTTCAGTAGAAGCAAGAAAATATTGAATGGAAAACATATGTGTTTGTGAAACACTGATGCCCCCGTATGGCAACATAGCAAAAACTAATTTTTTTTTAAATGAAAATTTATTTTATCGGTACCAAAATTATATTCTTCCCGGAAATACAATTGAGAAATATGAAAGTGGGCCAAGGTTAAAGTTTTGACATAAGCAAATATGTCATCTTCAAAGTCAAGGTCATTGGTATCCATGAAAGGTCTTGCCACAAAAATTATATATGTAAAGTATGGTCCTAACCGTTCAGAAGTTATGGCCAAGATTTAAAAAAAATCAATGTAGATCAAACTCCAAGGTCCAATTTCTTGTTTTCAAATGAAAGGTTTTGTCACAAGGATTAAATATGAAAGTATGAAAGTACTAGCCCTAACCCTTTAAAAGTAATGGTCAATGTTTGCTTTTTAAAAGTAGATCAAACTCCAAGGTCAAATAGTAAAAGTTCTTAGTAACTTATGAAGGGTCTTCTCAAAAGAATTACATAAGTGTATAATGAGATCACTAGCACTTAGCCTTCAAAAGTTATGGCCAAGTTTAAATTTTTTACAAAAGTACAAAAAGTCTCAAAGTTCCAGGTCAAAAGGTCAAGATAATTGGTTTCCAATGAAAGGTCTTGCCACATAAAATATATATGTAAATGATGGAGGCCCTGTCCTTCCCTTTTAAAAGTAATGGCTAAGGTTAATTCTTTTTTAAAAGTAGGTCAAACTATCAAAGGGTCAAAAACCTTGCTATCAAATGAAAGGTATTGTCACAAGCATTAAATATGCAAAGTATGAAAGCAATAGCCCCAACTCTTTAAAAGTTATGGGCAACCTATTCTTTTTGGATGTAAATAATATTCCAAGGTCAAGGTAAAAGGGCAAAGTTCTTGGTATCCAATGAAGGGTATTTCCACAAGGATTACATATGTGAAGTATGAACCCCTATCCCATAGCGTTCAAAAGTTATGGAAAAGGGTTAAAGTTTTTTCACAAGTACAGAAATCTCCAAGGTCAGGGTCAAAAGTTCAAGGTTGTTGGTATCCACTTAAAAGTTCTTTAAACAAAGATATATATGTAAAGTATAAATCCCCTGGTATCTACTGCTTAAAAGATATGGCCAAAAAAAATTTGAAATTTTGGTGTAAAAATATAAACTCCAGGTCAGAAGGTCAAATTTGGTGGTACCCAAAGAAAAGCCTTGTCACAAGGAATATACCTTTGAAATATGAAAGGCAACTCCACTAAATTAAAAGTTATGGGCAAGGTTAATGTTTTTGCGAACAAACAGACATATCGACTGACGGACACGACAAAAATTATATCCCCCGAAATTTCGTTTAAGGGGGCATAAAATGTTGGATAAAGAAACTGATATTACTTTGATTTAAACCATTAGCTTGAACTGGAAGCACTAGCGATGAAGTTGAGATGCTATTGTTTTCAGGGAAAATTATGGGCTGATCTGCTGGAATCTTTGCAACTGTGAAAACTTAAAAAATGAAATTATAACTGATTGATCCCTTTTTTTTTTAAATAAATCTTCATTAATAATATTAAAGTGAAAAACCAATAAAAAATAAATGTTACTACTGTACTTTTTTAAGCATTAAGTCACTCTACCATATTTTTGTTAGTTAAATGTGATGCTTTCGTTCTCGTTGACCGTTTCTAAGAATCAAACCTTTTTTGTCAACGGTTTTAAGATTTTATTGATTCTTGCACCGGCCTGGATAATAATAAGACGAGTAATGTTTAATCCTCATATAATATAGTAATTGCTTACATAACGTTATCTTTGTGACAATGATAATTACCTGCTTTGTAGACGTGTTCTTCCAAGCAGCAGTGTGATTTTCTGCTAGCATATTGTCGATTGTCGTCACGATCCTCTGAATACCAAAATGAATAATGAAAATTTCTTGTTTAAATAGTGATGAGATTAAAAAAAACAAGATATATCATTCGCCTGATATTATGACATCTCTGTTTGAGGAGGAATTTATCGAATTGCGTTTAAAATAACAGTCATGAATATAGCATACCGACTTTGGCAGTGTAACATTGGACTTATTGGAGACATCGGCGATTTTTTCAGCAAATCTATGGAATTATCTAAGTTTAGGAATTGTTATTTATTAAAAGGGTTTTTTTTTTAAAGTGGGATCATTGAAAGCTTCATTTTTTTTTTTAAAATTTCCCTTGTAGAGAAATTAAAAGAATTTGTAAAAAATGGTAAGCTCCCTTAAAAGTTTTTTTATTTAGTTTTTTAAAAAAAAAAATAATTTTTTTACCTTCTTGTTATTAATCATATACTAAAGTGGTGCTTAAGATATAGTATTTCATACCATGTTTTTGATTACCGACACACAGTCCATGTTTGGCATGTCTTCACAATATGGAGTTATTGGGCCTAGAAAAGGGAATATAATTTAAAAATCAGCTTTTATATAAAGAGTTTTTCAGTTTCATTCACAATATCACTTGCACATCTTTCTTTTTTATTATTGACACACACTCCATGTGTAGGTTTATGAGTGGCATGTCCTCACAATTTGGATTTAGAAAAAAAAACTTTCACTTAAAAATTATTTATTTCAATAGTGATCCTCAGATTCTGAAATTCTGGCTTTGAGTAATTGAAAATGCTTACAAAGATGACCCAAAATTTTCAAAGTTATTTGTATTTCCCTTTTGGGATTTTGAAATAACATCTTTAAAGTTAATCATCAAACATATGGAGATTATGAACAATAGGAGGGTCAAAAATTCGTGGACAAGTTCTTTGTGAGCGCACTATTTCCACGAAATACAAAAGAAGAAATAATCCTTTTGTTTACTACTAGAAAATTGTGATCACAGTACTCACTTTGACAAACATAGCCAGCAATCTCACTACAAGATAGTGTTCCAAAGATGATTTCCTTCAAACAACCGAAACTGTAAGCAATTTTCATTTCCTCCGTAATTATTGGGTTTTCTGTAAAATACATAATTATTTTATCATGTGATAACATGGACAACAAAAAAGAAAATAAATTAAAAAATGACTTCTGATATTCTTTTTTCATCAACTTGCTTGTTAATAATTTTAGAAAATGTTCGTATGTAGAGCATGCTCTTGCGTATTGAATCAACTGAGATATATACACTTCGTATGCAGGTGATGAAGGTATATTGCTGCATAAGTAAGGGAAGTAGACGATAGAAAAGTTAAAGTCGTCACGTTTATCATATAACTTTGTTGTTAGGTTCCATTAACATCTTTTTCAAGTAAAATATCCAAGTATGACACAGATGTTTCAGACTCTGTAGTATCTTTTATCTCAAGCTCTCCTGAATATATCGTATAGACGTAGGAATGAAAATTACCATTGTTAATTGATAATACGTCGTCGATATATCTGAAGGTCGAGTTGAAGGCCACAGCAAGTGTTTTCTTCTTTTCACGCATAAGATTTTGCATAAATTCTGCTTAAAATACAAATTATGCTTGGAATACAAAAATAGTTCTGCTAATAACTTAGCGCAATTGGTTCCTATGGGAATTCCAATAGATTGTTGGAAGACCTGGTCTTCAAAAACCACAAATATATTGTCAATCAATCAAATCATATTATTTTACAAATGTTACGCGCACAAATGTAGGCATGTTTTATTGAAACGCTAGCGCGCTTCATAAAATATGCCTACGTGACAAGTCTGTGTGATTTACACACAAATAACGCACACAAAACGTGTCTTAATTAAATCAATAAACTTGTACATTGAAAAACAATGTTTATTTTAATAATCTCAAGTCGTTTGAAAAAATATTTCTTCTTTCTTTGTTGCCCATGTTAAAGAAAATGTTTATTTCCATTAAAATACGTACAGTGGACCTTCAGATATTCGGACGCCAGATATCCGGATGCTTCAGTATCCGGACGACTTTTCTTCGGAACGGACTTTTTTTACGTTATTTTTGTCTTGTTTAACTTGTAATTCAGATATCCGGATGCTTCATATATCCGGACAAATTGACCAAAGCGTCAGTGAGACTCCACTGTATTTCAATTTATATGACATTTTAACCCTCTGTCTTGCAAACTTTCTGCGACTTTTACTTCGACCTTTTAGAAAAAAAAGTTCGAATTCCAAAAATAAAATGTATGAAGGTATTCCTGTTTGTCGTACAATTGAGTTGTTATCTGAATTGTCTACAGGTTTCTCCGTTTTCAGGACGTAATCTTCATACTTAATTAAGTGATAATTCATGGTCAATGTATTTATTTTTTTTCTTTGGATCTTCATGGGAATATTTTGGCATGAGCATCACATAGGAGACATTACTGGTCGAAATGTACATCTCGTGCATTGAAATTGGTAACGAATATCATTTTCATATGTAAAACAACTCAATTGATGATATTAAAAGTCATTGTCAGCGAACATTAGGAATACCCTTCGTATTGTTATAGAGTATGTATCAGTAATGCAGACACTTCCTTTTTCCTTTTAATTGGTTCGGAAACCGACCACAAAGGCTGAATGAATTAGAATTGACTGCATTTAAAAATCTATTTTGATATTTTTGATCCATGGGAAAAAATTATACATAAAATGTGTAAAAATGATAAAGAAAGATTCAATTAAATTGATTTCTAGAAAAAATCTTTAAACAAAATTCATTTTTAATCTCGGTATGTCAAACTTAATTGTAAATGTACATGAGTACTTATCTTTAAAGGGATTAAAATTTATACTTTGATAATTTTTTTTCATTCACATTTCCATAAAGTATACTTTTAAAAATTCTAATAAATATTTCATGATTTCTCATTTGTTTTTGTCGGAGACGCAATTAGAATGAAAGATAAAACAGTTGAGAAATGTCAACCCATAACCCACATTTCATTTGAAGTACCTATCCCGATTTCAACATAAAACGGACAAGGGTATATCATAAAATAATTAATCGAATTTAAAAGTGCACACTTTGTTTTTATTTATATTTTACTAGAAAAGAAAGATCAATAACAATTTTGCATTTACTTGCAATGCATAAATATTTTTTGTACATGTAATATGAAGATGGTTGCACACAAGAATGGCTGTACCATTTTTTCTGCTTCCCATTATTTATTTAATAAAGTCGGAACTGAGAAATATCTTATTTTTCTTTTTTCCCCTTTATTACGTGTGTGACTGGTTGGCAAGGGATGCTCACTTCTTCATGGTACCAGATCACGTATGTGATTATTTTTGAAGATCCATGTTCGTTTTTTCTGATTTGTATTGTTTGAATAGAGAAAAATACATATTCTTTTCCATATCGCATCCTGTATCAGCCAGAGACACCAAAATCAGCAAGAGGGCCGAAGGCACGAGGGCTAATACAGGATGTGATGTTGAAAGGGGTTTGTTTTATTATGTTTATTACATACCTACTAATAAAATACAGTACACATTAAGTTGAGAAGAAAATAAATAAATAATCATGCATGGACTTCTTAGTTACCGTTGAAAAAAAGTAATTTTTTCGGTTTTATCTAATTATGAAGACAATTCAAACCCGACTTTTTTTCCATTAGTAGTTAAGCCTTAGTCATTGAATGTAATCCATAATAATTTTCACATTAATATGCATATTTAAAGAATAAAGAAAAATCAGATATTTTTTAAAGGAAGTTTAGTAACGAAGGATAAAATATCATTGTCCGCATTTATGGTATAAGTACTAAAAAAATGCTCGGGTTCGTTCTCCATGAAATATACATCTAAGCGATAAATTTAATTTTTTGAAAGTTATTTCATGCGATATAAACATAGGATTATTTTTTGTGTGACCCAACAAAAATTATATTTTTAACTTTTGAATTTTGATATCTTTTAAAAGAAGAAGACTTTAGAGATAAAATTTGATAAAAGGTGAAACAATTAATGGACAATTATTTTTCAAAGAAGAAAAACGATTATATTTTTTAGCGATTAGAATCGGACCAAGCGGCTTTAACCGATTAAAATCCATATTTTTTCCTCTAAATTATGCATAACATCCATAAAAGTAATGTATTTTGACCATGATGCTTTGAAAAGCTTATAATACTACTGATTTGTTTATTAAAGGAAAGGCAGCTTAATGATATTTCAAAGTGTTATTTTTTCAAGAGAAATGGATAGAAAATTAGTTTGTAATGATATTATTTTCTGATTACCAAATTGACTTTACTAAAAGGGGAATAGGATAGCGACGCAAATATTTCTTTTTTTAAAAAAAAAGAGCAAAAACTATTTATGTTTTTCAAAGAGTACTCAAAATGTCAAATCCACACACATCGGTGCGTATTTCCTAAACATATGAAGGTATGATTGTTTTAGCGATAACTTTGAATGTGTTAGTAATGGAAAAAGAAATAAAAATTTTAAAAAGATAACTTTGTACTTTATTTAACTGAAAACATTTTACAAAATCAAAAAAGAAAACCTTATTGTTTGATTTTTTTTTTCACATTATATTGCTGTTCAATTTACTTGAACCCTTCACAGTAAGCCAAAAGAGTTGTTTGAAGTGCTTGTTATTATACCAGTATAACCATCACATTGTGTAGTGCAATTCTGTCCTACAGATCTCTGTAGCAAAAAAATAAAGTATTTTAGTAACTATAATGGACTTCAGTTTTAGTTTCACAGGATGCAGAATATATATTGTGTAGCGATGTCTACGCACTGGGAAAAGTGTCTCACATGATATTAATGTCATTATCTTTTTATTTGAAAATTATATGAAAATCATGTAAAAATTATATCAATATTTTTATGTATCCAATACAATAAAGCAGTCAGGTGTGATGACTCTGAAGAGTATACCCTGGTGATGTATTGTAGATAATGATATCTAAAATGGCATAGGCCTATTTACAAGTCGTGTTCAGCTTTAAGCCCCGACATACAAGTGAGTAACTATATTCTTTCAAACTTGAAGCTAGGTGATAAAAAAGTTGGAAGAAAACTGAGCCCATAACTTGCTTTGAAAACTTATAGTTAGATCCATGGCATCTAAAATATAGGAAATCAGAGATTACAAAGCTCACTTCACGAATGTTAT